CGATCAGCCTTCTTTATGGTCCAGCTCTCACTTCCATACATCACTACCGGGAAAACCATAGCTTTAACTATACGGACCTTTGTTGGCAAGGTGATGTCTCTGCTTTATAAGATGCTGTCTAAAGGCTTAGTTCAAAAAACACAGCAAACCATGGATTTGTGGGCCAACCACAGTTTACTGTTAATGTTTCCTTTCTTTCCCTGCCTGCTCTGCTCTCCCATTTCTCTGGTGCCGGCAGTGAAGGCTGGTCCGTTAGGGCAGAAGGGGCACTGCCCCAGCAATTTCAGTCTGCCCTCAGTCAGTCCTCACTGGCCTGCTTTCTTATTAACATCCAGTTCAAGGGCTGGCCTTGGCTGCCAGCTTCCTCCTCCTCAGCCTCAGTGTTGCCCTTGTAGAGGAGGGGGGACTAGAAATACTTGGCTCTGCCAGTCATTGGCTGTAGTGCCACCTACTGTTAGCCTCCTGCCTTTATGCCCTACCAGTCCTAATGATCACCGACAGGGAGGAGGAGGATGGGGACAAAACTAGAATTCATTGGCCCCGCCCTGCCTATCATTTGGGTCTGCTTTCTGCCCTACCAGTCCCACTGAGTATAGGAAACACAGGAAGATGCCACATGTAAGAATCTGATTGGTTAGGGTGGCAGCACTGGCACTTTGGAACTCCCTGCCGATTGAGTGCCTTCCCTGTACTCTTTTTGGCGCCTGCTAAAAAGATTGTTTCGACAAGCCTCCCCAGATGCTTAGAAAGTAGAGGCAATTTTAACTGGTTTTAGTATTTTAACTTCTGTATACTTTCAAGCATTGTGGTCATTTTTTCTTGATTTCGTCGTTTTATCTTTTTGTATGCTGCTTCAAGGTTTTTACTACAGTGGTACCTCGGGTTAAGAACTTAATTCATTCCAGACAATGAACAAAGAAGCTGAATATTGGTAAATTCAGGATAGACACTATATATATATATATATATATATATATATATATATATATGGGACTCGGGTGGCGCTGTGGGTAAAGCCTCAGCGCCTAGGACTTGCCGATCAGAAGGTCGGCGGTTCGAATCCCCACGACAGTGTGAGCTCCCGTTGCTCGGTCCCAGCGCCTGCCAACCTAGCAGTTCGAAAGCACCCCCGGGTGCAAGTAGATAAATAGGGACCGCTTACTAGCGGGAAGGTAAACGGCGTTTCCGTGTGCTGCGCTGGCTCGCCAGATGCAGCTTGTCACGCTGGCCACATGACTCGGAAGTGTCTGCGGACAGCGCTGGCTCCCGGCCTATAGAGTGAGATGAGCGCACAACCCCAGAATCTGTCAAGACTGGCCCGTACGGGCAGGGGTACCTTTACCTTTTATACACACACACACACAGTGGTACCTCGGGTTAAGTACTTAATTTGGTCTGGAGGTCCGTTCTTAACCTGAAACTGTTCTTAACCTGAAGCACCACTTTAGCTAATGGGGCCTCCTGCTGCCGCCGTGCCGCCAGAGCACGATTTCTGTTCTTATCCTAAAGCAAAGTTCTTAACCCGAGGTACTATTTCTGGGTTAGCGGAGTCTGTAACCTGAAGCGTCTGTAACCCGAAGTGTATGTAACCCGAGGTACCACTGTACAATCAAGCAGCATATAAATCTTGTGAAATAAAAATTAATTAAGTATATCGAGTCAGATCCTTGGCCCACCTAGTTCTCTATTGTGTGGTAACTCTCCAGGGTTTGGGGTATGAATTTCCCCCCAGCCCTGGTTATTCATGGGACTGAACCTGGGATCTTCTGCATGCAAAGAGAGTGGCTAAACAGCAGGTACGTGCTTGGCCATAATGAAGAGCAGCTCCTCCAGGGTCATTGCTCTGCTCAGAAGAGGAAGGCTCTGGAAGCTGACCACGTAATGCCCTTGGGAAACCAGAGCTCAGACACCACAGAAACTCTATGCCCTGTGTGACCTTGGCTGGGCAAAAGGTCCCCTTTCCATGCCCTCTCCCCTTTCTCCTGCCTGCTCCGCTTAGCAGGGCTGTGACCCAGCCAGGATGAAAATAGAATGGCCAATTTGTTCCTCAGCAGCCAAGCCAAGGGCACATGGGTTGTGTGCCCAGGCCCGAGCAGGAAACGCATGAGGTAAATCCCCTCCGGGGACAAGGGGTGTGTGCGGCTGTGGTGCTGAAGACTAAAGGCAGGCACCTGACTCAGGTGAGCCTCGCTTGTTCAGGCACAGCCAAGTTCCTCAAGCTTCAGAAACTCCATTAGATCAGAGCCAAGATTCCAGGGCATCTGAGGCTCAACTTCTTGGGCTATCCGAGGCCAAGGCTTTTGTTTTGTTTTCTTTTGGATCTGATGGGAACTTCCTGTCTTTCCCCACTCTTCTCCATGACTCCAGGTGGGAGAACGTTTTCCAGCACAAGGGCTGCTGCATTTGCTTCTGGGCGACTTTCTGAGGGCCGCATGCCAGTGGCAAGCAGCACCTGAGGAGGAGACGGGTGGAGGAAGGAATGCAGATTTCACCTTAGTATAGGAGGCAAGTTTCTACACACGCTCACACGCCCCTCTCTATCCTCCATCCGAATGAGCAAGAGGTATTCTCAGGACACATTTCAACCAGGCAGGAACACACAAGGTGAGGTGCAAAGGAGAGCCAGTCAGCAATGTGGCTTGGAGTGGGACTCTTGATTTGGGTAGTCACCTAGGACCAGGGAGAGAGGTCTAGAGCAGAGCTTTCCAAAATGTGTGTCATGACACATTAGTGTGTCAACTGCAGGGTGTAGGTGTGTCACACAAACACTCCCCACGCTCCTCCCGGGGCTGGAAAGTTTAACCTCTGGTTTTCTAGTAAAACTGCGGCCTGGGCAGGCTAGGTCGTCCTCTGATATACCTGCTGGGATTGACAAGGCATCTGACCCTCACCTGACTCTCATAGCTCTCCTGTAGCTGCCTCTGATTAGCTATCATTTAATTATTGGGACACGGGTGGCGCTGTGGGTTAAACCACAGAGCCTAGGGCTTGCTGATCAGAAGGTCAGTGGTTCGAATCCCTGCAACAGGGTGAGCTGTCGTTGCTCGGTCCCTGCTCCTGCCAACCCAGCAGTTCGAAAGCACCTCAAAGTGCAAGTAGATAAATAGGTACTGCTCCAGTGGGAAGGTAAACGGCGTTTCCGTGTACTGCTCTGGTTCGCCAGAAGCGGCTTAGTCATGCTGGCCACATGACCCGGAACCTGTACGCCGGCTCCCTTGGCCAATAAAGCGAGATGAGCGCCGCAACCCCAGAGTCGGCCACGACTGGACCTAATGGTCAGGGGCCCCTTTACCTAACTCTTGGGGAAAATAATTAGCATCACTCATCATGTGCATGGAAGTTGCTGAACCAATTAACCAACTGGAAGGATTACTGTTAATAGCACCAGTTTTCCTATAACTTGATATTGCTGGATAGTTTTGACTAACTGCAAAAGCATTTTTAGTTTGCTTTCTGTTGCCACCCTGGAACTTTTCTTTATTAGGCTGGCATGCCCAGTTCCTTTTTCAGACTCTGTTCGCTCACTTTCAAACCAGCCCCAAAGGGATGCATGCAACACAGTTTCTGTGTTTCCTTTGGCAAAGGCAGGAGCCCAGCTGAGAAGGAAGGAGTCTTGCAAAAAGTTAAAAATAGAGTACCTTCGGAGAGGCTACTGTGACTTCCTTCGCTTCCCCTGAATGGGGCATTTAAGTCTATGTCTCCAGAGAGGGTTCAAGGCAATCCGAATCAGGAAGCAACGTCTGCCACAAACAGGTTCTCTTAAAGCTGATGTTGGGGCTAGAGAGACAGAGGAAGTTATTTACGTGTGCAAATGGGTTCAAGTTGGCCGTGCCCATTCATTTCAGTGGGTATACTCTGTGTAGGCAAACCTAGACAGCATCTTAAAAAGCAGAGACATCACCTTGCCAGCAAAGGTCTGTATAGTTAAAGCTACGGTTTTCCCAGTAGTGATGTATGGAAGTGAGAGCTGGACCATCAAGAAGGCTGATTGCCGAAGAATGGATGCTTTTGAATTCTGGTGCTGGAGGAGACTCTTGAGAGTCCCATGGACTGCAAGAAGATCAAACCTCTCCATTCTGAAGGAAATCAGCCCTGAGTGCTCACTGGAAGGACAGATCCTGAAGCTGAGGCTCCAATACTATGGCCACCTCATGAGAAGAGAAGACTCCCTGGAAAAGACCCTGATGTTGGGAAAGATTGAGGGCACAAGGAGAAGGGGACGACAGAGGACGAGATGGTTGGACAGTGTTTTTGAAGCTACCAGCATGAGTCTGACCAAACTGCGGGAGGCAGTGGAAGACAGGAGTGCCTGGCGTGCTCTGGTCCACGGGGTCACGAAGAGTCGGACACGACTAAACGCCTAAACAACAACAACAACAACTCTGTGTAGGACCAATGTTGAACGCAAAACCACAAACTTCCCAAGAACCTTGACTTTCACCCATGTCAGAGTGGAAAAATGTTTCCCATTCTCTTGGCAGGGAAGGGGAAATTTTGGGTGCCCCCTCCTCACCCACAAAGGAAAAGCCAGACAATTCGTGCTTCTTTTGCTCATAAGCATCTGTTGTTCTTGAGCCTCTCTGGGTCATTTTTGGCCCCCAAAGGAAATGTCAATGAGGCGAAGGAGCTATTCCATCCACCCCCTTACAAATGACGCAGCTTGCGGAGAGAGCAGGCCCCACTCCTTTTTTTGCTACAAAGCAGCCTGCGAGCGCGAAGATCTCAAGGGAGCTTTTGTTTACTTCAGCAGCGAAACAAGAAGCCAGATCTCTGATAAAACACAAGGACACAGGTTGGCAAGGAAGGAGAGTTTCACTTACTTGTGGGCTGCTTGTTATTCTCCAAATATTTATGAGGCCAGTAGTTCATGCCATGGGTTCCCAGAACTGCTTGGAAACGCAGCCTCCGGGGGGGGGGGGGGGAATAAATGCAGCAGGGTTTGGGGGGGCGGAAGATAACCAGAGGGAGGGTATTAACAGAGAAAGGTGGCTTTGAATGCCAATTGCTGGGAATCGCAAGTGGAGAGAGCACAGGAGCACTCAGGCCCCACTTTTGGTCTTCTCAGAGGACCATCCGGTTGACCACTATGAGAAAGAGATGCTAGACTAGATGCCTTGCATGGTGAAAGTGGACAGAGGGACTATTTTCTCCCTCTCTCATAACACTAGAATTTGTGAATATACAAAGAAGCTGAATGTTGGTAAATTCAGGATGGACACTATACACACACACAGACGGTGGAACCTCGGGTTAAGTACTTAATTTGGTCTGGAAGTCTGTTCTTAACCTGAAACTGTTCTTAACCTGAAGCACCACTTTAGCTAATGGGGCCTCCTGCTGCCGCTGTGCCGCTGCTGCACGATTTCTGTTCTCATCCTGAAGCAAAGTTCTTAACCCGAGGAACTATTTCTGGGTTAGCAGAGTCTGTAACCTGAAGCGTTTGTAACCTGAAGCATCTGTAACCTGAGGTACCACTGTGTGTGTGTGTGTGTGTGTGTGTGTGTGTGTGTGTGTGTGTTTCACTCACAGCATAGCTTTTATATATTGTTGTATGCCACTCCAATCTCAAAGCAGTGTGAGATTTCACGGGTTCCAGGTATTTACCCAGGGTTTGGTTTCCTTGGAGTGAGGGACAACAGAGTCTGTGGTGTCTTTATGCGCTATAGTTTATTTACACACCTATACAACCTGATGAGGGTGGCACTGTGGTCTAAACCACTGAGCCTCTTGGGCTTGCTGATCAGAAGATCGGTGGTTCGAATCTCCGCAATGGAGTGAGCTCCCGTTGTTTGGTCCCAGCTCCTGCCAACCTAGCAGTTCAAAAGCACGCCAGTGCAAGCAGATAAACAGGTACTGTTGTGGCAGGAAGGTAAATGGTGTTTCTGTGCGCTCTTGTTTCCATCATGGTGTTTCCGTTGCGCCAGAAGTGGTTTAGTCATGCTGGCCACATGACCCGGAAAGCTGTCTGTGGACAAACGCCAGCTCCCTCGGCCTGAGATGAGCGCCACAATCCCATAGTCACCTTTCACTGGACTTAACCACCCAGGGGCCCTTTACCTTTTTTACCTTTTACAACCTGAGCCTATGATGCAGGGGCTCACAGCATTGGCACCCCAGAAGGTCTTGCTTCTCCCATAGCAACAGCCTGGATTCAAGCAGAAATCAAGCATGGCCCTCACTCTCAGACTTCTGCCTGCTTCTAGCCTATGCTGGCTATTGACTTTAAAACTACCAGCCAAGTGAGGGAGGGGCCCCTCCCATTTGCCCTCTGGCACCAAGCAACTTCCTTTCTTGTACAAATGACCTGTGACTTAGGGCCCTCGTCTCTATGGGACTGCATCTCCTGGTATGCCCCGCAGAGGACCTTAAGGTCCATGAACAACCATAGTTTAGAGGTCCCGGGCCCTAAGGAAGTCAGGCTATCCTCCATCAGGGCCAGGGGCTTTTCAGTGATGGCTCTGACCTGGTGGAATGCTCTGTCCCATGAGACTAGGGCCCTTCAGGATTTAACCTCCTTCCATTGGGCCTGTAACACAGAGCTATTCTGCCTGGCCTTTAATTTGAATTCAGCCTGATCTTTTATTTCCCTTCCCTTCCCCTCCCCTTTTATGAAGATCACCCACTCTGAGACCCCACAGCTAATTCTCCCCTGGCCTCCTCGCTGGTCCAAGTAGGACCAATTCAGTCAGCTAGCCCTGGGGATTATCTAATGCTTATTTCCCCTAAATTGATTTTTGAATTTCATTGTTATTCATGCTTTTATACTGTATTTTATACTGCTTTTATAATTAAGTGTTTTAAATTTGTTGTTAGCCACCCTGAGCCCGGTTTTTGAACCGGGAAGGGCGGGGTATAAATAAAAATTTATATTTATATTCTATATAATTCAACAATTGGATCCTCCATTAGATTTTAACCCTTGCTGGATCCAGGAATTGGAAGGGATGGCTATCATAACTTGTGTAAAAAAACCAACAACAACAGAAGCCTTTCTCTTAGGAATTATTGGTACCCAAAGGAACAGAGAAGACTATGTACATGACAGCAACAGCACAGATGCTACCAGCCCAGATATGGAAAGATGAAAGAGTCCCTACCAGAGAGGAATGGCAAACTAAGCTAATGGACTACACCGAAATGGCAAAACTGACCGGGGAACTCAGAGACCAAGTAGACAAAAAATTCAAGAAAGAATGGGGAAAGTTTATAATTTATTTAGGAGACCACCGTAAGCAGATGAAAACTTTAGCAGGATTTTAATCTCACTTGTAATGTAACGAATACTATGGAGAATATGGATAGACACAAAATATATATTACGAAATAATATTCAGTTGTGGGCAATAGGACCCAGGGAGGGGATGCGGGGAAGTCCCTAGATTCAGAGTAATCTCTTTATACAGATGTGTATTTGGTATGGTTATAAATTCATATTTGTAAAATCAAATAAAAATGATTTGGAGCGGAAGGGATGTCTATCATACAGCCTAAACCCCCACCCCCACACACCACACAACCGTATATAAATATATAATTTTTATTGCTTTTATCATAAAACATTTGCAGTGCTTTTTTCTTTCCGGGGTACTCAAGGGTACTCAGTACCAGCACCCCCCAAAGAAAAGCACTGAACGTATATACAAACTAACATATGGCCATATAAAAAATAACAGAAGAAACTGCTGATGGGAAGGTGAACCAAAGCAGCCAATGGACTCAAAACAAGGAGCTGAAACAACGTTCTTCAAACTTAGGTCCCTAGGTGAGTGTGGACTCCAACTCCCATCATCCTTGAGCATCAGGCTAAGCTGTCTGTGGATGATGGGCTTTGTAGTCCATCCACATCTGGGGACCCAAGGCTGAGGAACACTGAGCTAAAGCAAAGGCTGTGTAGTATATGGAAATGGGTTGGCTGAAATCCAGCATATAAGAAGTCTCTGAAAATGGATGACACTACCACCCCCATAATAACAGGGAAGCTAATTGCGGAAAAAGCACTCACGGCTTATTTAATTACATGGCTTCACAGGTTTATAATTGTTCTCTTACTGATGGGCTACTTTTGGGATGGCGGGGGAGGGAAGAAGAACCTCCTGGAAGTGAGTTATAATTATTAAGCTGTGCTATATCTTTTGTTCTGTTCAAGTCTTGAACAGGGGAAAAAACACACACCTTAATGAGTATTCTGGACACACACACACATGTTAACCCTTGAAATGTTGAGATTGAGGGAAATTAGATTATGTTCACATTTTAAAGGCAAACCTACCAAAACTCATATGTCTTGAAACAATGTGTGAAGTGCAACGCAGCGATCTTTTAAAATGCACGCTCCTCCAAATGTTGCAATGCACCTTCCAGTCATTTGTGCAAGAATACATATGTAAAGCGGGCATAAACATGCATTATATTAATGGAAATAACATGCAAAAGTGCATTGTATTCAGGGAGATTGCTTGCAGAGGTGTATGTATATTAGTTGAAACTGCATACAAAAATATGTTAATTGTGATAAATTGGCACTAAAATGCTAATGAATTTCCATGAGGTTTTTTTATTTTTAAAAACCCCCACAAATTTCTGTGGCAATGCGGAAAACTGAATTAAGATTAGGAAAATGAGTAGCTTGGACAATGTAAATCGATATTTCTCCAGCAACTGGGGGTGGATCTAAACACATGAAAAAACCCGCTATAAATAAAACAGAAATTAGATTGTTATAGCAAAAGAAAAAAATCTTTATGGAAAATCGTGTTTTAAAATTTCCTGCTCTCTGGCGCCATCTGGTGTTGCATCTTTATAGCTCCTTCAAATGGCTGTTTCTTTCTAATGTAGCTGAATCCTAACATACAGGAGCATTCCTGCCTCAGCATTATAGCCATCATGGCTAGCAGCCGTTGAGAGCCTTCTCCCGCCTGAATTTGTCTTTTAAAGCTGTCCAAGTTGGCGGCCATCACTGCTTCTCTTGTGGGAGTGAGTTCCACAGTTTAATACGGTGTGTGAAGAAGGGCTTTCTTTTGTCTGCCCTGAACCTTCCGGCGTTCAGCTTCCTCGGGTGCCTGTGAGTTCTAGCGCCAGGAGAAAGGGAGATTCAAGTTTACCCTGTGCCTGGTTTTTACGAACTTTTGTCTTGTCGCCTCTCGCTCGTCATGGCAGGTTCCCCCCCCAATCTGAGCTGGAAAGCGAGTTCAGTCAGAGCCAATGCATCAGCCAGGCACCGGAGGGAGGCAAGCTTCTGAGCGGAGAAGAATGGTGTTTTCATTACAGTGCTCGGTTCTGGCCGGAGGCCTGTCCGTGACGGCATTTTCATGAGCAACGTTTGATGGATGGAGATGGAGGGGATGGAGGAGTTACTTACTGCACAGCACACACACAGAGGCCGAGGGAGAAAGAGAGAGAGAGGGAGGAGAAAGCCAGCCTGGGACTCAGCGCTGGAATTAATGATGCCATTTAAATGCTAAGCAAACACTAGCCGTTCCAAGCCCCGAATGTAAACTATGGAGAGAAAAATCACATGAATGGCACACAGCCCATTAAGTCATTATATATCATATGTATGTGTATATATACACACACACATATATTCATGGCAATGACTAATGCTAAAGAAAGGCACCTGTCCAAAGAGAAAATTGGACCCATTTCTGGCTTCCCTTCCCTTTCATCCCGGCGTTATTCCTTCTGTGTGGAGAGAAGGGGGTTTATTCCCCTTTGTCCCTAACTGGTGTTAGGGGATAACCTAAGGAAGCGGGTCAAGAATCAGCTACAACAAGGAAGGTGAGTTAACTTGTGGAACTCACTGCCACCAGAAACGGTGAGGGTCACTGGCTTAGACGGTGTCGTTTCAACTTCTTGAAGAGAAAAGGTACAAATTGGGTTTCTTCTGCAATGGGATGTTTGCTTGTTTTTGGAGGAGTTCTCCGGGAATACATTTTTGATGGGAAGAGGGAACACCTCAAATGTTCTCTGAAGGAAAGCTTCCACCACCGCCACCTTTTTTGTCCTGATTCACTCAGCTGTTTTGGTGTGATTGAAAACAACGGCAACAACAACTTTACTGCCCTTGCTCTGGATTACACACACAAAGCTACAGGGAACCAGGCAGAGGGCCTTCTTGGTAGTGGCGCCCGCCCTGTGGAACACCCTTCCATCAGATGTCAAAGAGATAAACAACTACCTAACATTTAAAAGACATCTGAAGGCAGCCCTGTTCAGGGAAGTTTTTAATGTGTGACATTTTAATGTATTTTTAATATTTGTTGGAAGCCGCCCAGAGTGGCTGGGGAAACCCAGCCAGATGGGCGGGGTACAAAAAATAAATTTATTATTATTATTATTATTATTATTATTAGCTTCCTGGTGGTCAATGCAGATTTGGCTACATGTGGATGTCACAAAGCCAAATCTGAGTGAGGGCCATGCTCCATCCCTCTGAATGGACGGTTATCTCCACCTCTGCTTGCTCCCCTTGAGCAATTGGCTTAAAATGGGCATCGGTGCTCTGGGCGTGTGTAAATGTTCAGGGAAATATGTCCCCTGTTTTGGCTTAGCCCCAGTAATAACAACATCCCTCCTGCAAGCCTGACACTCCACCATTTGAGGCATTTCTGTCATACCGTACAGCAAGCTGTAGAAGGAGCGGGCAGTTGGTAAATTCCCATGAACCGGATCATAGCCAAGGGCTCCTTTCTTTCTGAGCTGCAGCAAAGAACCCAGAGGAAAGTCAGGTCAGCTGCGGGGGCAGGGGGCAGCAGCAGAGAAGGGTTGTGAGCTAAGAATCAGCACTTGCTTTATTTCTTATTTTATTTTATTTATGGCATTTATACCACACCCTTTAGCCCAAAAGGCTCTCAAGAGGGGCTTTCAAAAAATCAGTGTTAAGATGACTACTCCCTGCCCTCTGGATTATAAAACTTTCAAGCGATGGCATACAAGGAAATGAAGAAGGGGAGGGCAGAGGAAAAAGCAAGCTCGTACGCAAGTCCTTAAAATTACAATTCTGGTGTGGAGGACTCCCTGGTCCTCAGTGGGGTAACTGTGCCCCTGAAGGACCAGGTGCGCAGCCTGGGAGTCATTTTGGACTCACAGCTGTCCATGGAGGCGCAGGTCAATTCTGTATCCAGGGCAGCTGTCTACCAGTTCCACCTAGTACACAGGCTGAGACCCTACCTGTCCACGGACTGTCTCGCCAGAGTGGTGCATGTTCTGGTTATCTCCCACTTGGACTACTGCACTGCGCTCTACGTGGGGCTACCTTTGAAGTTGACCCAGAAACTACAACTAATCCAGAATGTGGCAGCTAAACAGGTGACTGGGGGCAGCCGCCGAGACCACGTAACACTGGTCTTGAAAGACATACATTGGGCTCCCAGTACGTTTCCGAGCACAATTCAAAGTGTTGGTGCTGACCTTTAAAGCCCTAAATGGCCTCAGCCCAGTATACCTGAAGGAGCGTCTCCACCCCCATCATTATGCCTGGATGCTGAGGTCCAGCGCTGAGGGCCTTCTGGCAGTTCCCTCATTGCAAGAAGCAAAGCTACAGGGAACCAGGCAGAGGGCCTTCTCGGTGATGGTGCCCACCCTGTGGAACACCCTCCCATCAGATGTCAAAGAGATTAAACAACTACCTAACATTTAGAAGATATCTGAAGGCAGCCCTGTTCAGGGAAGTTTTTAATCTGTGACATTTTTATGTATTTTTAATCTTTGTTGGAAGCCGCCCAGAGTGGCTGGGGAAGCCCAGACAGATGGGCGGGGTATAAATATTATTATTATTATTATTATTATTATTATTATTATTATTATTAAAAGTTACAGATGATGTCAGGGGTGGTTCTGGCCCTCTTGCCCTTAATAGAGAGGAGTGCCTCCCTTGAAGCTAACTCCTAACTCCTCTTGCCATGAGAACCAGGAGCATAAAGGTAAAGGTAAAGGGACCCCTGACCATTAGGTCCAGTCGTGGCCGACTCTGGGGTTGCGGCGCTCATCTCGCTTTATTGGCCGAGGGAGCCGGCGTACAGCTTCCGGGTCATGTGGCCAGCATGACTAAGCCGCTTCTGGCAAACCAGAGCAGCGCACGGAAACGCCGTTTACCTTCCCGCCAGAGCGGTACCTATTTATCTACTTTCATTGACATGCTTTCCAACTGCTAGGTGGGCAGGAGCTGGGACCGAACAGGGAGCATAGCAGGTGGCAATCTCCTTCCTCTCCAATGGCAGTAGCAGCTCAGACTGTCTTGCCTTTGAGAAAGAGCAGTTGCTCCCTGGAAGCGTTCTCCTCTCGCCTCAGATCCAATCGGGATTTTATGTTTTGCAAGAACTAAGCATTTAAATGCTTTCTTGGCTTGGAAAAGAAAGAGACTTCCCCAATGCTACTTAACTCGTCTGGAGACTGAACGGTGAAAAGAAAAGAAAAGGAAAAAAGCTCTTTCCACGACAAGGCACTTGGTTTTCGTGTTCTCGCCAG